AAAAAGTAAGGAGAAGAGAAAAAAAAGGAGAAGAGAAAAGAAACAAAGAGAGAGAGAGAGAGAGAGAGAGAGAAGGAGAAAAGGAGAAAAGGAGAAAAGAAAAAGAAGAAAGCCCGGCCCCCTCCCACTCAAAGGTCGCTTCTAAAAATCTCCGGTATATAAAGGGGTACTTTCCACGCAAGAAAGTCCGGCCCGTAATACACAAAAATCCGGCCCGTACTGACTTTACACACCGGAGATAGGGGTGCTTACAAAGAGAGGGAACGTGCATACGCGTACCCTAAATAACACTGAGTGTGTGGGGGGGGGGGGGAGAGAAAATTCGGGTGAAAAGGGAAAAAGACAAGGAAATGGCGCTAAGTGACAGTAACGACGAATAAGGGAAAAACTGTAATCGGTAGATTTGGGGTCTTTTCAGAAGGCTTGAGAAATTGAATAGAGGGGCCGGCCGCATAAAATCTCGAGCCGCGGATTCGAAGTTAAACGTTAAAAACAGCCTCTGCGTTACAAAGGTCATCACTTTTTTGTGAGAAATTTAGAAAGGGCACAATATTTTGGATGTCTTTTAAATAGAAGCTTATATACTCAACTTTTAAATTAACGGCAGAGGGGCCGCTTCACAACTCTTATTTTGCCCTTCATTTGGCTTCAGCTCGTGCCAACTCGCTACTGCTTGTATTTGAACTCATGTTAGTAGTAATCATGGACAGTGCGGCGATCCTGGGTCCGATTGGGGGACAGGTCCACCAGGAAATTTAGAAATATAGCTAGAAAGAAATATAGCGGAAAGAACGTACATATTTGGCTTAGGAATTTTCTACAATGCATAATTTTAGCATTCAACATTGCAAAATCTCGGTTGGTCGCTACGCCCCCGCGCCCAATAACACAAAACTATGAAATGACATTCCGACCACGCTCCCGGCCCTGATATATCCATGGTTGGGGTAATAGATCTTTTTTTTTTCTTCATTTCTACTTACATAATAATTGTGTGCTATCACACATTTGTTTCGTTTTCCTTTTAAAACCCGGGGAGTGGTGGGGGCAGTCACCCCCTAACAAAAGTAAGAGGACAGAGTTAGAAACATTTTTGAAAAATCTGACAAGTCAAGAACGGTACACCGAATCGTCTTCTTTTTCTAATGATTTAATGAAACGTCAAAGCTTTCGCGCTTCGCTCGGGAGAGGTGAAACTGAATTCAAACAAGGATTAAGAGTCGAAAATGGTTGAACGATTCGTCTTCTTTCTCGAATAATTTAATGAAACGTTAAAGCTTCCGTTCTTCGCTCGGGAGGGGGGAAACTGAATTCAAACAAGGATTAAGAGTCGAAAATGGTTGAACGATTCGTCTTCTTTCTCGAATAATTTAATGAAACGTTAAAGCTTCCGTTCTTCGCTCGGGAGGGGGGAAACTAAATTCAAACAAGGATTAAGAGTCGAAAATGGTTGAACGATTCGTCTTCTTTCTCGAATATTTTAATGAAACGTTAAAGCTTCCGTTCTTCGCTCGGGAGGGGGGAAACTAAATTCAAACAAGGATTAAGAGTCGAAAATGGTTGAACGGATCGTCTTCTTTCTCGAATAATCTAATGAAACGTTAAAGCTTCCGCGCTTAGCTCGGGAGGGGGGGGGGGGGGAACTGAATTCAAACAAGGATTAAGAGTCGAAAATGGTTGAACGATTCGTCTTCTTTCTCGAATAATTTAATGAAACGTTAAAGCTTCCGTTCTTCGCTCGGGAGGGGGGAAACTGAATTCAAAAAAGGATTAAGAGTCGAAAATGGTTGAACGAATCGTCTTCTTTCTCAAATACTTTAATGAAACGTGAAAGCTTCCGCGCTTTGTGCGGGCCGTGGAAACTGAATTCCAATCAAGGATTAAAAGTCGAGAATGGTAAAACGAATCGTCTTCTTTCTCGAATATTTTAATGAAACGTTAAAGCTTCCGCGCTTAGCTCGGGAGGGGGGGAAACTGAATTCAAACAAGGATTAAGAGTCGAAAATGGTTGAACGATTCGTCTTCTTTCTCGAATAATTTAATGAAACGTTAAAGCTTCCGTTCTTCGCTCGGGAGGGGGGAAACTGAATTCAAAAAAGGATTAAGAGTCGAAAATGGTTGAACGGATCGTCTTCTTTCTCGAATAATCTAATGAAACGTTAAAGCTTCCGCGCTTAGCTCGGGAGGGGGGGGGGAACTGAATTCAAACAAGGATTAAGAGTCGAAAATGGTTGAACGAATCGTCTTCTTTCTCAAATACTTTAATGAAACGTGAAAGCTTCCGCGCTTTGTGCGGGCCGTGGAAACTGAATTCCAATCAAGGATTAAAAGTCGAGAATGGTAAAACGAATCGTCTTCTTTCTCGAATATTTTAATGAAATGTCAAAGCTTCCGCGCTTCGCGAGGGCCGTGGAAACTGAATTCCAAACAAAGATTAAAAGTCGAGAATGGTAGAACGAATCGTCTTCATTCTCTAATAATTTAATGAAACGTCAAAGCTTCCGCGCTTCGTGCGGGAGGGGGGAAACTGAATTCAAACAAGGATTAAAAGTCGAGAATGGTTGAACGAATCGTCTTCTTTCTCAAATATTTTAATGAAACGTCAAAGCTTCCGCACTTCGCGCGGGCCGTGGAAATTGAATTCCAAACAAGGATTAAAAGTCGAGAATGGTAGAATGAATCGTATTCTTTCTCTAATAATTTGATGAAGCGTTAAAGCTTCTGCGCTGAAATTATAATTTAAAAACGGAGAATGTTGATATCGGACAATAGACTTGACGTGAGTCTGCCCCCTTTTCGAAATTGTGCCTTGACAGTATTGGTATGTTAAGTTGAAAGAACGGTCTGCGCAATTTTTTTAATTTCCGGCCCCCCTCCCCCCCCCCCCCCCCCCCCTATTGGAAAATCCTGGATCCGCGCACACTATCATAATGTCCGTATATTTCTCATGCTGAGTAGAGTCGCAAAAAGCAACAATCAACAATCCACTTTTTGTATCTTATTCTTATCTTGACTATTTGTCTTTCTCATAATTAAATCACATTGTCACAGTTAATGAACCTCGTAGGTAAACAGAGATATCCAAAACTGTCACCAAAAGCACTTGAACTTACATGTAGTTACACGGTTTAAGTCAATGGAAAACAAAGAATAATTTGGATAATTATTAATTAAGTATGATTTCCTTTGAGTAGGCCCAACTAGTAATACATGAATAAAATCGATTAGTTTCGTTCATTTCATTGGTCAGCATTATTTGTCCATGTTGAATAAAGTTGTGACGCCCAGGAAATATTTCGGATTTGACGGAGAATCACTGAGGTTTAATTTCATTCGGATCGAGCTCATTTGCAGTACCTCATCTTAAATACGAATCGGACTTAACTTATTCTGGACATATCATTAAAAGCAACCGCAATCCTTACAAGGTAAGTTTCGTCAGGTAGTACTTTTAATGATTTAGAAAGAAAGATGGTTTGGCTATAAACTTTCTGCTTTTCTCTTTCACGCTCTCTTATAGGGTCTCCTTTAGCCCTTTAAATCTATTCGTATATTTTGTCTTAGGTCTCTAGCTTTTTTATTTTAACAAATCAGAAATACATCGAAAATCCGTATTTAGTTTTCAGAATAAATTTAACCAATCCAGAAATTATTTAAATCAATCAGACATAAACAATCAATAATAAAATATTTCACCTTCAAATCATCAACTTCCAAATTCAGGACATCCACATGAAACTGATTCAAATACGGAAAACAACAAGGCTCTTACAAATATATCGAATGCCCTCCCCTTCTCTTTGAGTTTTAAGGTATTGAATTACTCATTATTTCTCTACATAAATCAAATGGCGATCACATTTTTATACTTGTGGTTAAAGTTTACCGTTAAATAATTACTGATAATTTTTATAGAATGATTAAGTTGGAAATTATTTGATTATAAAAAAAATAGCCCCTTTTCAGTTGTTCCCAGCCATATCCAATTCTTGTAATTTTCCATGTAATTCTACGGAATACTCATTGTTTTATGAAAATGAAGTAAATTCAGAGAAATAAATTTATAATTGACGATATACATATTTATGCTCTGGTACTTGGAATCTTGAATTTAAATATTTTTCCCCTCTTTTTCTGTTCTCTTCAAAATATGTACATTAACTTACTTTGGCAAACTCGCATATAATTGACATTACACTTATTTATGTACATGTACTTTCATGTTTTTCGTAGCATTACATTTTTTTTGGTAAATCCATTCACAATTTATTACTCACTGTTCCACTGAACAATATCGGACACAGGGGCGTTGCTAAATCAATTATAAAAAAAGGAGTCTCACATAATTTGCAGAATTTTTAAGGAGGGTTAGCCTTCCTAAGTAGTTGTTTTTATATAGTGTGCATAGAACATTACAATATGTTTATGCCAAATATTACGATGCTATGGCAACAAACGAGAAATAATAATCTGTGAATATTTTGTAATTCTTGATGGTTCCGTTAGACCAAGCAATTCAGTCCTATGATTTCGTTAGTTTCCTGTGTAAAACGATCGCAACGGCTTTGGAGAAATCAAGCAAAAGTAATTTCAAGAGCATTGTCCACTACCCCCTGAACTGCGGAAGCATTTCGATGACCCATGACTTAGGTAAATTCTACGGGATATACAAAATTTTTATTGAAATTGCCTCCAGAAGTTAAAGTCTTTCAGATCGTGTTAATATCACACATTTGGTATAGGGATAGTGGTGTGACATCCTTGCAATACAGTTTTTCACATATCTGAAAAGATATAGTTGGCTATATGGACAGAATAAATAAACCATAAGAAATCTAATGTTCTGATATATGTTTATCAACCTGTATCATCTCCGGTATCTCTGTTTTACAATTTAGAAGTATTGTGTTTTCTCCAAATACAGAATGACGCGCCGTCTGTTTGTTGGACCGTATAGGTTGGTCTTTCTGCTGATAATATCAACAATTTCCATACCGAATATGGTAAGTACTTCGACAACGGAACCTGCAACTACCGATGAAAGCCCACCGACAGAAGATTCTGAAATAACCTATACGAGTGCATGGACAAGGGATTCTACAACTACTGATACAACGAAACCAACGGGAGTTTCTGCAACTACTGACACAACGAAACCAACGGGAGTTTCTGCAACTACTGATACAACGAAACCAACGGGAGTTTCTGCAACTACTGATATAACGAAACCAACGGGAGTTTCTGCAACTACTGATACAACGAAACCAACGGGAGTTTCTGCAACTACTGATACAACGAAACCAACGGGAGTTTCTGCAACTACTGATACAAGTAGACCAACAGGGGATTCTGCAACTACTGATCAAAATACAGCTACATCAACAGGATCAACCCGTGATCCAAATGCTTCAACAGGGTCACCAGAAACGCCTGATCCAAGTGATAACACCACAACCTCAGCGACGACTACTGAACGCGAAGAGATGTCTACCAAAGATCTTACAACAAGCCCTCCTGAGGAGTCACTTTCGGCTGGTGCTATAGCAGGAATCGTCATTGGTATGTTGATAGGACTTGCTGTCATTGCAGGTGGTGTTGGTTACGCTGTGAACCACTCCAAAGGTACCTCAACGGTTACTCCTGTGAACAATGCGGATATCGAAATAGAGAGCATGTCTAGTGAAGAAGTCGGAGTGAACGACAAGACCCATCTTACTCCCACATATAACGACCAATCTTAAACATATTCAAAATACATGTAAAATACAAATACGGTCAAACCTGCGTACTGATGCCACTCACGTGAAACAATTAAAGATGGCCTTTGTAGAAAACTAGTAGACAAGTGGACTTTTGGGGGTAGGTTCTTCAACACATATGCATCATTCTAAAGGGATGCAGTTTGGGTGACCAATATAAACAGATGACCTTTATAGAGAGGTGGCCGCGATGACAGGTTTGACTGGATGTTGGTAAGATGGTAGGACCTAATTCATGAAGGATGGAGAGCTCTGCGTTATTCACCAAGACCGTGGCCGAACTGAACGGAACGTGGCATAGAATTAAAATTCTCTTTTTCAAACTCAACTCCGCAATACATGATATACAGTCATGTAGTTATTTGATATCGTCATATTAATAAAACTATTGCCTAGGTTCTTTGAACTACTTCTGAAAATAAAACAGAAACAAAGTATCCAGTTATATATCTGTTCACCTAGGTACTCCATATTTTGTATTAATAACCACAGTTAAAGATTGAAAATTGACTTAATGCCTGAAATACCAGGCTGCTCTAACAGGAAAGACCTGATTCAGGCAAAACACTCAATTTCGTCAGAGTAATGACTTTGGCAACTAATTCATTAATTTGACGATACGGAACTTTGCATCTTTTAAAGAATTTCATAGTTTTTAAAAGTAAAGAAGAGAGAATCATTGCAGATTTGTTTCATATAAAACCAATGGACCGACAGTAGTATTTTGAGAAACGCGCAATGATTATTAAACATTGCCTAAGTTATTATGATGTGCAATTGACAAACCGAATGTCTAGATGTTATCTATAATTATGTTATATATTTTTAAAATTGTAAATCTCAAAAAATTTCGTTACTTTAATATTGGAACATGTTTGTAGTTGAGGATGATATGTTGATAGTGATAATGCAAAACCTACGTATTAATCAATACGACTATATCATTTGTGTAAATTGTTGAATTTATGTACGGTATTATTTTTTGTAGACACTGAACTTTAGAACGATTGACATCAGTTTCGCACTTATTTTGTTCAATTTTGCTTTGCAAAAGAAAAACCCGAACGTGGGGTTTTTAGTATGGAGATGAGATTTCTTTTCAAAAAGATTTTCAATTTTTGTGACCAAACATATTAACGAGACATGTGTCTTGAATTTGCTTCGCAGACCTGTATAGAGCTACATTTGAAAAATATAATTTAAAATCAAACTATTTGCTGATTAGTGATTTAGTATTTGCAAACAGAATGGGCAGATGAAAGGTGCATATTAAGTAGAACGAATCACTATGCTTGCGTGGAGCAAATGAATTTTAATTGGTTGAATTTGTTTGCCTGTTGCCGGAGTTACGATATTCACGTAAAGGGGCACATGACAAATTGCGCATAATAAACAAAAAGGAGAACAAATATTTAGTTAGAGATCATGATTTGATATTCTTGTACATGAATATCATATAGAATTTACGCATGCGCATCAAATTACTTTTATTGGTTGCATCATTGGTGTGTACCATGTTAGATTAGTTTGTTGACCTACTTTTTCTACTTTGGGGAACAATCTGTGCCGATGAATGTGTTCGTCAAGCGTTAAGGGTGAAAGACAATATGTTAGACGCCACAGAGGGAATGAAAGGGTTAGCAAATCTTGATATTGTAAAGAGCCGTAAGCAGGCGCGGCTGATAACAAATATTTAGTTTAAGATCATGATTTGATATTCTTGTACATGGATATCATATATAATTTACGCATGCGCATCAAACTACTTTTGATTGGTCTGCATCATTGGTGTGTGCCATGTTAGATTAGTTTGTTGACCTACTTTTTCTACTTTGGGGAAAAAACATGGTCGATGAATGTGTTCGTTGAGTGTTAGGCGTGAAGAGACGATATGTTAGACGCCTGCACAGTGGGAATGAAAGGGTTAAACAGATCTTGACATTGCTCAGAGCCCTAAAGTAGGCGTGTCTGATAACAATTTGTCGACGTGTGTGAGCCAATTCTGATGTAATCTTTTGCTTCAGTCGGGTGTTCACTCTAACTCTTCTTCCGTACTGATTATCAGCACCCCAACCCTCACCGCCCCTACCCTTTCATGGTTTCATCATGTTTTTGGCCATTCAATGATTATTGCTCTTTTTTATTTTCATCTTTTTTCCAGAATTTGGTACCGAAGAAGTTTTTTGGTTAACTCCTTATAAACCATGACATTTCAAAAGAGCAGATTTAAAGTTTTTTTTTTACTAACTCTACTGTATCACATTGATATTTATGTAGATATTATATATTGGGCAGGAGACAAAGATCGGGCATCGTTACAGGGCACTTCCGTACCCGCCCCCTCCCTCGAATCCAGAAACTGCCCCCGCCAAAAAGCCTTCTTCTACGAACTATATTTTTGCTGATTTTGAATCTAATGCTGCCTGTAAAAGTATCAGTTGTATACATCTTTAGATGGCGCTATTCAAACAACACTGTCAGACTGAGTCGCCAATAAATTCCGTATAGATGGCGCTGCACATTATGAATAATTGACACAATTTGCAGATTCAACGTGCCCCTAAAGTTGTTTGCCGTTTTGATCATTATTATAAGCAACTTACGCCGGGTTGAAAATATTAAACAGATTAAGCATATTTTGAATGTCAATGAACGGAGGATTTATACAGCCTGCATGTTTCATTAAGGATGAAAAGAGATATATAGTGTTGTAGTGAATAAGTGAGTGTTGCCCATAAAGATGGAATGATTAACCTCTATTCCTGAAATGATTGTCTGTCACAATATTGTTTATTCTTGGAAAGTATAGTTTATATCTTCTCAGAACTTTGCCCATCAATAATAAGTCACGTTGTAACAATCATTTCATCAACAGATCTTTGGAATTATTTTGTTAACTTCATGGCAAACGTGTAGTTGTCGATATGCGCGACATTTGAGATTTACACATTGATTAAGCCTACAAAATGTTGAATAAAGATAATGAAATGTCTTCAATTTTAATAAGCATTTTTATTCACACATATCGGACGATGCAACTAACATTAACTTCGTCAATAGTTCCCAATTTTTCTTCCTTCCATAAATTGTGTTATTCAATCATTGTGATTTGAAAGAAGAAAAAAAATACATTGATTGTCAATGGGAAGGTGTTTAGCTCACCCTGTGGAACCTTGCGAAACTTAAGACTCAAAACAAATGATGTAATTAATTCTGAAGAAGAACACAACAATCTTATTTTTTGCAACTTTTTTTGCAGGAATTATACCACACACACTCATAATTTCGTCACCTATTCCAGAATAGATTTTGTGATTGTACAATGTTAGGTTTAAAAAAAATAATGATTACGTAGCTTGATCAACCAGGAAGGAAACTGTATGATGTGAACGTCCCCAAATGATCATGACCAAAATATAACACTTGTGTAAAGTTGCCCCCTTCTATTTTTTTAGCGACTTTCGATTTGGCAAGGAGTTGGCCTGACAGGAGGGTACACCGATTTCATCCTATACTAAATACGCAAATGTCAAAAGAAAAGGGCATACAGTGTATATCAAATGTCAAATGTGAATCTTTATAATCATCTCAAAGAATATTTCGTTTAATCATTCTCACTGTGATATTTATAAACCACGAAGTGTATTTTGTTATTTCTTTATCTTTTGTTGCTATTGTAAGATAATCTTTAATCTGATAAGACCGTTTGATCGTAGGGCCATTAGAAGTACTTCGTTCAACTGAAGGCATTGTACTAACCTCCGATTATTTACATACTGATTATGCTGATAGATTGGTTGGATGACGTCACAATAAGTACTCAAACAGTTGTCTTATATACCTGAAAAACAGAAGATTATATTGTATATATCATATCGACGTCATTTAACTACTCATGATGATGATATCACATATCATTAAGTGGAATCAATTTGTGGAATCATAGTTTGAAGAAAGGATTATTTGGTATGAAGGATACGGGACATGGATATGGCACTAATATTTCTGCTGTATATTTCGAAATATAACGTAGGTATATCAAATAATGACCCCCTCCCTTATGTCCACCCTTCCCCTCTCTCTCTCTCTCTTTCTCTCTCTCTTTCTTTCTCTCTCTATCTCTTTCCCCCTTCTCTCTCTCCCCGTTATTTCTCTCTCGCTTTCCCTTTCTCACTCCCTCTTTTTCTTTCTGTCTCTCTCTCTCTTTCTCCCACTCTCTCTCTCTGTCTCCCTATCTCACTCCCTCTTTTTTCTTTCTGTTACTTTCTCTCTTTTTCCCACTCTCTCTCTCTCTCTCTCTCTCTCTCTCTCTCTCTGTCTGCCTTTTGTTTTCTCTCTCTCCCTTTGAATTCTACTCTCTTGTCTCTCTTGCAATCACAGTGTACACTGCTACCCATGTCACAGTTCTGAGATGATTTAAGCTTTGTCTAGCAAGAATAAATTTCATGATAACAAATATCAAGTTTTTCAGGTGTACGAACAATTTATTCCAACTTCACGGGCAACAGTATGGACTTATGGTTCGCCATTCACTTACAAGAATCAAGTTCTAATTATTAGTATATTGGAAGCAATCATTCGTTAGTGTGTATATAGATAGTTATGATATTGTCGGACTAAACATGACTAGTTTCAGTTGTCACATTGTGTTTGAGGCGTGTGTTATAGATCCAAAATATTAACAACACTTCACTTCGATCTTCTATCTTTGTTAGCAATCACAAATTATTTTTCATTATCTTCCGTGTTTTTCGAACGGGATTTTTGAATTTTTATCCTGGTTAGTTGAGATAAAGAAGTCGATTCGGGGAGAGAAAGTCGGTGTTATAGATAACGTTCTGCGATGCGTCTTGAAGAAGCTGCTGAAGGACATCGGAAGCGGCAATTCCTTTACCAAGGAGAATGGCAGCAGCACCTGGTGAGAGAACAACAAAATTACACATCTCGAAGTCCAGTTTTAAAATACTATGCATTTTTTGCTTGCCGTCATGCCGGAAGCAGCTACGGTATACCGGTAAGCAGGTACCGTAAACCGGTTGGCAGATATAATATACCGCAATAATAGGCATACACATGTATCAGTGAGATTGAAAGCATAACACTCTTTAGGGATGAAACAGTTCCACTGCCCCGATAAGCAGTTACGAATTATTGTAAGTAGAATCGTGCAGTTATGATGTTTATTTTGAATGTTGTTCTTCTGTTTATATATTTTTTTTAAGCATGAATTTAATTTGGACTTTTAACTGATTTCACTTCTGAATAATGTAGTTTTCATTTTCTTACTGCTTCTGTTTGGAGAAATAAAACATTTTAATAACACAAAAGGAATTGTTTTTATACGAGTTCCGCGGAATGTACTGTATCGTATTTATTCATACATTCAGTAAAAACCAAACATGTCGGGGTGCAAGAAAATTATTACAGTAACCAAATAAAACAAAATATATGATAATAATTTTTTTAAAAGAGAAATAAAAACATTGAAATACAAAGGTAAGATAGTAAATATGAATAAAAACAGACAATCAAATTGTATAGCATGTGAACTTTAAACTGGTGACAGTAAATTCTGTACAATATTATCAGAGAGTTGAGTTTTATGTCCCATCTGTACTCGTGTACAGGATGGATTAGACCTCCCTGCAAGGTCACTGGACAGATAGTTATCTCATCAAATCAGCTCTCAGTTAACATAAGAAAAAGAAGATCATGGGGGACCAAAAATCACCGATTAGGCATTGTTTGTTATATAGAGGGCGCAAGTAGCTATAAGACGTGCGATGGGCCTTAAATTGACACTCACCAGCAACATGAGGAGTGGCCATGCTTGTACCGCTCCATATAGCGATGGCCGTATCGGATGCAGATGAAGAACTGACGATAGCCACACCGGGGGCAAAGATGTCTACGCAAGAACCAAAGTTGGAGAAACTCGCCCTCTTGTCATCCCGATCCGTTGCTCCAGCAGTGATTGCCTGTCAATTTGAAAAAGTAATATTTTACAATATCTTTTTGATAAAAGTCCTAATTCGAGAGTTCCATCCCCTCCGCTCACGTTCCTTCTTTCTCTCTCCCTCCATCGTTGTCTTAAACCCTTTGTCTACGTCACGCTGTCTCATTCGTAATTTCGTAAATGTCAAAATACCTATAAATACTACATTGCCATTGTAGCTAAAACTCATTTGAATTTGAATGGCATCAACTAGCTGATTAACATTCACCTATATATATTATTACGATACATTTTTATAGAATAGATTCGCAAGTGTTTATACCATATGCAGGAATTAGGAAAGCCCACATTTAATTCATGATAGTCGAATTTGGGTGAGCCGATCCCGATCTGACTTCTAAAATAATGTAAGTATTTCTTCTCTTGGTCAATCTTTTGATATCACATAAGTATCTTTCCCATCCACCTTGTTCAATTGGGTGGTTATAAGTTGGTTTTCCAGCGTCGTGTTTGAACGCAGTTTCACATCTTCATGTCACCAGGGGGTGTTTCATCAACTAAAATCGATTTCTATTTCATAAATCAATTTTAAGGCCGAATCAGTTTTAACAAAAAACCGATACTTGTGAGCTTTTTCATCAAATCAATTTTAAGCTAAAAATAGATTTTTAGGTGTCTGCAATCAAGGCTAGTCAATTTGGGGGTAAATCGATCACAAAATGTCATTGCCAAACCTTTGCAAGAGTCCTTGAAAAGTAAGTGAATTCCGTTTTTCTTCGAAAATATTAATTCTGTTGATAAAAAATCTGTTATTTGGGAAGAAGAAAAGGGTTCCTGTCATTTTTTATAGAATTACATTTTTGTTTAACTGAACAAAAACTTTAGATAATATCAATTTATATCACTCCCCAACTGGGCTAAAAAGTGGACGAATTGCACTGGTTCAATCATTTCAGTCCCATTCATATAAACTCATGTAGGTCCAATAGGAATTTTCTACCGACGGTTTGGACAGGTACAAACTCATTAATCTAGTTTATTCTTGCAGTAGTCTTATGATTAGACCTATACAATATACTACTAACCTTTGGCTCCCGAGCAGGAGAGAAAAGGCAGGTGTCCATGTTCTCGTTACCAGCTCCGGCGACGGCAACGACCCCGGCGTCGACGGCCCGAGCCACGGCGTCGTCGATCGCCTGATTCGCCAGAAATCGGAATGACATGGACATGACAGCAGGGAGGACGGCATTCTGAGCTACCTCATCGATGCCTGAAACATAAATCATATCATTAGTTCATTTGTTTCTTTATCTAATAAACCATACATTGTATATAAATTTCAAATACATAAGTACTTCGACAACTCAACAACTACGCCCTATAAGCCGCTGTGGGCTAGTGGATATGGGTAATTCCATAAATAAGGGCCCGTTTTGTAACATTTTTGGTGTCCCACTCACATAAGGAGCTCACACGTATTTGTGGCTCTGAAGAAAGACTTAAATAGTCGAGTGAGATTGTTAAGTGATTCTAGGTATGGGGATATAATATTATGCTTGGAAATCACTTTACACTTGTAGTTGTCTATGGACATGTGTCCAGAGTTAGTTGACCTTGAACAAAAACCCATCTCAAACAGTACCTGGATCAAATTAGGTTTATCCCCAAAGTTGAGCAGACTTTCGTTGGTTAACCATCGATCTATTGTAGCTACAATTTCTAAGCGAACCTTAACCCTAATCCTAAACCTAAATCCTAAATCTCAACCGCACCCTAAACATAACGGTTGGGGATGGACATTCATATACATTAACTCTATTGGTGGTTAAGCCAAGTTCTCACCTGCAATAGTGCCAGACGCGGAACCAGAACCTGCACAGTTGAAGAGCCGTATCGAGACAATGTTGGCTTTCCTGGCAATACCGTGGATTCCTCCCGCTGCCGTACCCGCGCAGTGGGTCCCGTGTCCGTGACAATCAATACCCTTTTTTTTGGGGGGGGGGGGGAAGCAAAAACGAAATATTTCCCCCACTTTTATTCACATTCTTGTATCTGTCCATTTTATTTCATCCATAAGTTATCATATTTACCAGGACCTTACTTAATGTTAATGAACGCTTGTGATATTACGAGAAATATAAAGAGAACAAGAACATGATTGAATTAAAATATCTCAATGTCGTCTGACAAGAACATAGAGCGGTATCAATGTTAACAACATTTTCATCTAAATTTAAGCGATATAATTAATTGATTATTCTACATAGTTTTTCCTATCTAGAATTTAAAAAAAATTAAAAAAATTGATCAATAACCCAAATGCAACGACTTCAGCCAAAATCAACTCAGTAGCGATTTCTATATCCTATAAAAACTTGCCCATACCTTTTCAGATTGCAAGTAAAACGTCACTGTAATATTAGCACATTGGGTAACGGAAAGACTAGGAATTGCGCTAGCATGATTTTTTGAAGATTTCCGCAAGTTAATTTCAGTTGGTGTAATTTTTTTTTTCTTCTCAATCAAATCAATGCCAAGTTGGATTTACATTTTTTTTTAAAGAAGATTTCACTTACGTTCCATCCGTCGTCGACGTAGTCTCCACCGTGACTAACCCGTCCTCCAAATTCTTCATGAGTATCTCGAACTCCGGTATCCAACACGTACACAGTCACACCCTCTCCGTCACCTTAATACCAACAAAAGTAAATTTTGATGTTTAAAGTTAAGATGCTAGTCTTGTGCACAAGACCAGCTGTGGGAAGGAAGGCCGAAGGGCTTATTCCTTCCCAGGCGGTGCACCTTCGTCTAAGAAATTATCACCATTTTGCGTTTACTTATTTCCATGTTATTTTTTTGATGTATTAACATTGCGAAATAAATAGTAATGACAATAATTATGTTAATTGTGATCATAATAAATATGTTAATAATGATAACGATAATGACAATAATAATAATAATAAAACCAATAATAATTATAATAATACAAAATAATAATAATTATTTGAAAAAATAAAATATAAAATAAATAATTCAAATATGGAAATATAGATAGCAGGTGAACACAATATGCTATATAAAATCAAGCCGCCGCCCCCCCCCCCACAAACAAAAAATCTTCAAGCTCCCCCACTTTAATTCATTATTCATGTGAGTTATTGTAAGTGAGGCACATTAATTAAATGAATGCAAGAATGCAAGCTCCCAAGCCCCCTATCCTCCCGCCCTCCCCCGAAAAAAAATGTGGAAACGCGCTCCAGTGTAAGTCATGCCTCCTGCGGCGTTGCGCTCTCTGAATTCAAATCACATATTATTTCAATGTTCATGATAAATATCTATGTAGATATTTAAACGCGGTTTCATGGATGAGATTTGTAATTATAATCTTAAAGGGTTGTTTCATAAAAATTATTTTCATAAAATGCGTGCAGAAGATTGCCCAATCACTGTATGAATTGACGACACATCACCACCTGGCTCCATTGCTCATACTAATAATTAAAGTAGGCGAATCGCCTTCGAAATTCCAGCATTACCTTCGATGTTGAAAGCATCATCGAGTGGGAGGTCGTGCTGATCAATGCGATCAAGACCCCATGATGATGAGGCGACATCGACGACGCCGATAGCATCCTGTTCCATGTACTTCACTGCAGGGAGTTCCAGTACCTTTTGGAAAAACAGCAAGGTAAAATGTTATCCATTTAAACCAGACCCGGTTTAATGATTATCTTTACGATTGCCAGAGAGACATTGCTAGAGAGAGAGAGAGAGAGAGAGGGGGGGGGGTAGGAGAACCAGCACTAATAATTGCAATGTAAAGCGCAAAAAACCTTAGTATTTAAATGAACGCTATATAAATGTGATTAGAAATGTATTATAGTAGTAGTAGTAGTAGTAGTAGTAGCAGTAGTAGTAGTAGTAGTAGTAGTAGCAGCAGCAGCAACAGTAGAAGTAGTAGTAGTAGTAGTAGTAGTACTATTATTATCCTTTTTGTTGTTGTATTCATCACTATTATTATTACTGTTATTATTATTATCATTATTGAAGTCATTGTTATCATTATCATATTTGCGGATGTAATTGTTAATGCTTACCCTTTCTGCAACATCTTCAGACATATCTGCAGCGAACCCATTCAGTGCTTTGTAATATTTCCTAAAAACAGAAAACCTCCCCGAGCGAGGAACCATATTCTGCTGTATCCGGGTGAGCAAAGGGTCCAGTATCTCGCCATCCTAAAGAAATGTATATATGTTTGAAATAAATGTCATGATTAAGAGGTAAAATATACACTTAATTATCATTTCAGTAGTATAAAGAGATTTTTAGAGATTATAAGATACATAACAAAAAGTCGAAAGCTTCCATCTTATTATGATGAAGAATGCTTGAAATTTAAAAATCGTTGCAATATAGCTTTTTTGTTACATGCTCGCAAATGAACATAAGACTAAATAGGTAGCTTGCTATGGATCTGAAACCAAAATGTAATCGTGTATTAATTTGATTCGAAATATTCTGTCTATTATACAATAATAATAATACATGTAGAATGGAAAAATATTACCACAAAGATGTGTCAATCGGATGTCAACTGAAAAAAAAAAATTATAGCATTCATTAAATGTATTGCAAACTGTACTTTCTCGTGAATTCCTAAATCAAAATTTAATTAATATTTGCTAGCTAAGGCAATCCTTCTTCCGCAATTTTTTGTTATAAAGTTTGATGAAATATGATTATTTGAAAATGTATCTATTCTTTTTTTATAATAATTGTTATATAAGTTTGCTTATTTATGATTCATTGTCAGAAATTACTTAAGTAATTTATGTTTGTTATGTTACCGAGGATTGATTATATTTAAACTGGAATGAGGAATAAAATAAATCAAACCAATTCAACATTATTTTTAGTCATTAATAACGAAGCACCTTTAGTTTATAACGTGTTGCTTTGTTGGTGAAGCATGGAAATAGCACTATATGTGTTTTACAATTAGTTTACAAGTATAAAATGGTTAACATCTACATAGGACAATCTAGACAAGCTAGATGCGGGAATGTTCCTCTATATTACCATGGTAAATATACTTACATTGAGTACCACGATGTACCTGTCTGGTATGGTCTGTATCCTGATATCTATACACTGAACCAGGCCCAGTACAGACAGGAACAACGCGATGGAAATCCCGATTCTCATGGTTCAGTAGAAAAAGGTACTGTAACAAAATAAATAGTATACAAATATAAAATGGCACTGGAGGATCTAGCTAAAACTTTTCGCATCGAAGGAACATCAAGTACTAATGTTCCTGAGTGCGAATAGTTTTAGCTTGTTCCGAGAATGAGTCATTGTATATTTGTTTTATATCCCTTCCATCTGTATCATTCCTGTGATAGTTCTGTAATAACATGTACCGTATACTCACATTCAGATCACATTTAAAAAAGCAAAATGAAATAATATTTCACGGCTGAAATGAAACATTGAAGGACGCTATTGCTGGCGCTATATACAGGTACTGCAGTGGTGTAGTGCAGTTATTGCACATCGTAAAATGCAATGCTTGACCGCCGTGACACATCGGGTGTTGGCCTAGTCCAGCCTCTGTACCGTTTTCGTTTGGCGCACCCAATCAGCTGATAAAATAACACACCCTCAACGTTGAAAGTAGACCTAGCCGTTCCTCTAAATCTGGACCTCGACGGAAATTTGGGGATTGCGCGATCAGTGGAGAGACCGCGCTGTATGTGGGGGATAAAAAGAAAGGACGGACTGAATCTGGACTAGTGTTGGCCGTGTGGAGGCATTTGAAATCCCGTACACTTGCTAAAGTTTGCCAGTTTGGAGGGAGGGGGGGGGGAACGAATAGTACCCTGATCTCGGGAAAAGGTGAACTATTCGTGACGTCAGCAATAACAAATTAACTATTCGGTAGGAAACCTCTTTTCTAGTAAAACTATTCGTTTTCTTGGTGTGTACACTTGCAATAAGTACGATAATTGATATAATATACAATAAAAATGCAAATGACATAGTAATTGTTATGATAATATACCTCTAATGAATCCAAATCAATATTAGTATACGAATAGTTCATGTTTGCAAAAGCTTTGGTGAATGTACACTGCACGCAAGTAAAGTCATAATACGATAACGAATGAGACTTTTCGAGTTGATTGTCCGTGATTGCGAATCACTGCTATGAGACAGAATGCGCATTAGCAATATATAACTTTAAGCAATTTTCTGTATTGTTTTGCAATGTTATCATACACGTTATTATGGTATATGCTAAAACAGACTAAAACCGATAGACTCATATTAAATTACAAATGCCAGTATTACAACAACAAGAAGAAATGCAGAAAAGACTAAATATATGCTTACCTTTGCCAAGAACGAAATCCGATTAAATGATCGCTTGGTTTAGAAAACACAATAATAATTAGCGATTATGTACACAATTTATGTTGATACACAATCGCAATTTGGACAGAGGGGATTGATCCAATTCGGACTTTGCTCGTATCTTATACACATTGAGATAGTATTGAGGGTCATTTAGATAAAGCAAATTCCCAAATTCTTTCTTACTTTTTCTCTCTTCCTCTTTCTCTCTCTCTCTCTCTCTCTCTCTCTCTTTCTATCTCCTGCCCTCTTTCCCCCTCTTTCTCTCCCTGTCACTTCCACTCTCTTGTCCTTCCTGAAATCAGATTTGTATCAGTTCTGAGATGATGTTATAAACTTTGTCTATCAAGAATACATTCTATGATCAAAATTATTCAGGTTTTTGTTTAATGTAAGAACAATTTATTACACCTTCACGGGCAACAGTAAAAACTTATGATTCACCACCAACTACAAGAATCAATTTTCTAATTATTAGTATATTAGAAGAAAACCGTCATCAGTGTGTATATAGGTAGTTACGATATTTTTTTTTACTAAAGATGTGCCGTTGCGAATGTCAAATTGTGTTACAGGTACTATGTCCCATTTGCAGGCACCAAAAAATGAAAAGGTTGAATTCCAACGGCATTTGAAAGACAATACTTATTTAGAAATTCCCTCTAAACAAAAGGGCTTAAAACGGCTTTTAGTGGGAAAATAACGACCATTAGTTGTCGAATCGACTTTAGTGATTGAAATCACCTAAGTAATAGTCTGATTTTCACGCCCTTTTACCGAATGGTTGTACGTTTTGTGCTGCACAAAGATTCAATCAGTTTAATTTTGGCCAATACAAGTAATCGGTTATTGATGTAGACAAATGCTCATGTACCTGTTACATCTCATATTATGAATCAGTCAAGAAGGTAAACGGGTTTCCTTGCATAATTTGAATACTTTATAATAGCGATACGCGCATATCGTGGAAATATTGTGAGAGGACATACATGACATATTCATAATTCCTTCAAAGTTCTACATAATTTGACGTTGGCTGCAAAAGGGACATAGTATTTTTAAAGCATGTTTTATAAATCCAAAATATTAACAGCACTTCACTTCGATCTCCTTTCTTTTTAAGCCGCAATTTAAAATTATTTGTCATTATCTTCCGTGTTCTTCGCACGGGATTCGGGGTTGTCATCCTGGTTAGTTAAGATAAAGGAGTCGATTCGGTGAGAGGAAGTCGGTGTTATAGATAACGTTCTGCGATGCGTCTTCAAGAAGATGCTCAAGGACATCAGAAGGGGGAATTCCCTTCCCAAGGAGAATGGCGGCAGCACCTGGTGAGAGAACACAAAATTAAATTAATCTCAAGTCCAGTTTTACAACACACTTTGCTTTTCTTCTTGCAGCCATGCCGGTAAGCAGCTACAGTATACCGGTAAGCAGTTACGGTGTACCGGTACGCAGTTATGATATACCGCAACCGGTACCTTTGGAACAGTCTTACACGCCCAAGGCGATAGCCGAGGGTGTTTGGACTGTTTCGAAGGTACAGAGTGTGGGTAACTTTTCCAATGGCCGAACAAAATGATTTGTATTATTGGTTTTATAAGATGATGTTTTATTTTTTTTTATAAAATGATGTTTTATAACATGATATTACTAATGACCGGTCTTTAGCATTTTATAATTACCGGTCATTATCAACATTACGCATTAGGCAAAATAAATGCCTGGTCACGTGCACACTTTCAACCAATGATTTTGATTAAAATCCACGCCATCATTTTATTACACGTATTAAGGGTGAAACAGTAAAGCATGTCAACTTTAAACTGGCAACAGCAAATTATTTTTTGAAAATTATCAGAGAGTTGAGTTTTTAAATTGAAACTCACCAGCAACATGAGGTGCAGCCATGCTTGTGCCGCTCCATATAGCGATGGCTTTATCAGATGCAGTTGAAGAACTGACGATAGCCACACCGGGGGCAAAGATGTCTACGCAAGAACCAAAGTTGGAGAAACTCGCCCTCTTGTCATCCCGATCCGTTGCTCCAGTAGTGATTGCCTATCAATTTGAAAAATTTTGAATAACAGTCGTAGCGAATTTTCGAGAGTTCCATCCCCTCCGCTCACATTCCTTCTTTCTCTTTCCCACTATTTTTTTTCTTAAACCCTCTGTCTACGTCTCGTTGTCTCCTTCGATGAGCAATTTCGTAAATTTCGAAATATCGATAATATTACATTAGCATTACATCAAAAACTAATCTAAATTTGAATGGCATCAACTAGCAGATTAGCATCCACGTATATATTACGATCCATTAATACAGAATAAATTTGGAAGTGTTTATACCATATGCGGGAATTGGGAATCCCCACAGTCAATGGTAATCGACTCTGGGTCGGCCGACACCGGGTCGACTCCTAAATATAGGTATTTGTCATCTGGGTCAATCTTTTAATATCACATAAAAGTATATTTCCCATTCACCTTGTCAATTCAATCTCATTTGATAATATGAGCTATATATACATAAGTATATAGGTTCGACGCCTTCCACACGGTTATACCATGACATGTGTGAACGCCGTTTCACATCTTTATGGGTGCGTTCAACAGATTTTTTTAAAGCTAGAATCACAAACATGAATCAAAAATCAAAACGCCGTTAAAACACGGTTTCTGCGGGAAAGCGTTCAAGCGATTTTTCATCAACGCTGATTCTCGCTCATTTCAAGCCCAGCCACTGCTCATCACACTGCGCAGGTTGACCCAGGTCGAGGAAGTATAGGTCAACTTCGCCGGCGTGCTTTTGGAATTTTGTTTACGGTCGACTGTCGGCTAGACCGGAAGCAGGCCACGATAATGACGTTATAGAATCATGATTAAGATCTCCGTTGCGTTCAAGCGAATTTTAGCAACCGTGATTCTGCAGAATCACGATTCAAAACGCATCTTTTTCAGCGTTTCATGTTTGCGTTTTGAAACACACATATTTTTACGACCGACGAAAAATCACTTAAAATCGCTTGAACGCAACCATGTTTTAAACTAAACGTTTTTGAAAACAGTTTTTCTAGGGTGGAAAGGTGTCGCTTGAACGCACCCCAAGTCACCAGGACATCACTAACCTTTGGTTCCCGAGCAGGAGATTTAAGACAGGCGTCTGAGTTATCGTTACCAGCTGATGCGGCGGCAACGACCCCGGCGTCCACGGCCCGAGCCACAGCGTCGTCGATTGCCTGAGTCACCGAAAATCCGAAAGACATGGACATGACAGCAGGGAGGACGGCAGTCCGAGTTACCTCGTCGATGCCTGAAACATAAATCATTATTATTGTTTGTTTCTTTAATAAACACAACATAGACAAATTTCAACGTGAGCACTCTGACAAGTCAACTAGGCGCCATAATATTGTGAAAAGCCTTAGGTTTCTTAGCTAACCCTAACCCTTAACCTTTACCTTACACTAAACCTAACGGTAGGCGATTGACATTCATGTCATAAACTCTATTTGTGTGGTATTCCTTAAAGGGGCTGTAGCATGACGAGACTATGGGTCTTCCCCGGGGCCCACTCAAACTCGGGTACGACTTCGGACGACGCGACCGCAGTAGGCCAACGTATTCACGTGCGTGCAACATACGCGAAACTGAAGCGTGAGGAGAACTCCGGTCTGTTTCGCGTATGCTAACGCGCTGACCCAGTTAAAGCTAAACTTTAGTACTGGTAATGCGATTGCATTGTGAAAGAAAAGGTGTGAAAGGATCAGAAACAGTTGATCATGTAGCATGTAAGTATTGGTGTGCACTGCAAGGTTCTGGAGTCATCAAAATCATAATAAATTTGACCGAGTCTTGGTAAAGTAACAAACACTCACATAGAAAGCTATATATGGGACAACACACATCGTGTCGGGGATGGTACTACCTTGGTTTCCTTGTCTTTCTATGCTCATTACTCAGCCAGTATACATTTTCTTCCAAAATTGTTTGGCACATGTCATTTATTTGTAATCTTGAACATTCAGTGTAAGTTTCGTTTGATTCTGTGAGAATTAATTTTTTTTTTTACCAGTACTGGAGTTTATCTTTAAGTCAATTCTTTAACGTGCAGTTGTCATATAGAAGACGTAGATGGCGTCAAGCAGTATTTCCCATGCTACCTCTCTAAGCTAAACCAAGTTCTTACCTGCAATAGTGCCAGACGCGGAGCCAGAACCTGCACAGTTGAAGAGCCGGATTGAGACAATATTGGCTTTCCTGGCAATACCGTGGATTCCTCCCGCTGCCGTACCCGCGCAGTGGGTCCCGTGTCCGTGACAATCAATGCCCTTTTTGAAAAGCAAACAAAGAATTATCCGCCACTTTTATTCATATTCTTGTATCTGCTCATTTGATATCATTCATAAGTTATCATATACATCTCAATGAACACTTGTAAGATTAAGAGGAAGTTTAAACAAATCAGCACGTGATGCAATTTAAATATGAAATAGAGTGGTATCAATGATTACGAACAGTTTCATTTTAAAGAGAAGGTTGAGTTCTGGGAAGAGGTGAACAATAATTTGTGAGCGTTATCATTCTTATTATGCAAGTGTGGAAGAACATCAGATAAAGACATGTTCCCTGAAAGGCATGGCTCTTTAAATGCCTTCATTTTCTAAATATGTCATGTAACATCGTAAAAATCCAGGGTAGGATTTTTACGCCACGTGTTCGTGTAGTCCCATATACATCTTTCTGTGTACAGGGGCCAAATTTCTGTGTACTAGGCCAAATTTCTTATCATTTTGATGATTCCAGAACCTTGCAATACACACAAATTCTTATATGCTAGATGATTTTCTGGTCAATTAATCCACACTGTTTCTTTCACAATGCAATCACATGACCAGAACTCAACTTCATCTTTAAAGGCAAGGCTATAGAAATTGTGTAAGAGTGATTTTTAAAAGTTTTAGAAATCGTGTTTGATGGAGACTGAGATACCTTCAAAAGTGTGCTTCTTCTTAATCAATTCAAATTCCAAGTTGGATTTACTTTTTTTTAAAGAAGATTTCACTTACGTTCCACCCGTCGTCGACGTAGTCTCCGCCGTGACTAACCCGTCCTCCAAATTCTTCATGACTACCTCGAATTCCGGTATCCAACACGTACACGGTCACACCCTCACCGTCACCTTAATACCAACACAAATTAAGTTATGGTTTAGTTTAAATCAATGTTTGGATACTTGTGCACTCGGCCAGGTGTGGGATAGAAGGCCGCCTGGTCTGGCGCACCAGTGTCTGTGAAATGATTGCCGTATTTTGTTCGGTCATTTGTATGTTCATTTTCTTTTAATGAATTAAAATTGCCAACTAAATAAATTAATACTAATTATTATAACAATAATGCTGATAATAACACTACTACTACTAATAATAATATGACAATAGAACATTGCATAGTATTAGCTGAATTATGGAAAGTACTGTTATACGCATATTTATAACCGGTTTTTTTTTTTTGTTGGGGGGGGGGGAAGGATATACGAAAAGTTAATGGCATATATGGTAAATTATGCAAGCCAACAGAAGCAGTTCTTGAGGGGGCATGGGAAGTCAAGCCGCTCCCCTACCCACAAAAAGCTCCCTCCCCCACTTTCCATGATTATAGATAAATTTAAGCGCGGCACTTCAACAGTGAATGCATGAACCCCAAGCCCCAAAACTCCTAAAGCCTCTCCCCCAACAACCTCCCCCCCCAAAAAAACAAAAACAAAAACAAAAACAAAAACAAACACACACAACAACAACAACAACAACAACAACAACAACAACAACAAAATAATTCTTCGAAAACTGCACCTTCGTATAAGCCAGGTGCTGCGCGGTGTTGCGCTCTAAGAAATACTATCACAATTTGCTTTCAATGGTCATGATTATATTTATGGGCTCCATGGACGAGGTGTTCTAATTTGAAATTTAGGTGGGTGGTATAACTTCTATACATGTATTATCTTAATAAATGTCAATATTTTGGTGCATGGGATTTGAATAAAAGCAACCAATCTAAATTATTTTCATAAAATGCTTGTAGAGGATTGCCCAAGCACTGTATGAATCACTCAATTGACAACCCATCACATTATCGATTCCATAAACCACAATAAAAGTAGCTGAATTGCCTTCAACATTCCAGCATTACCTTCGATGTTGAAAGCGTCATCGAGGGGGAGGTTGTGCTGGTCAATGCGATCAAGACCCCATGATGATGAGGCGACATCGACGATGCCGATAGTATCCTGTTCCATGTACTTCACGGCAGGCAGTTCCAGGACCTTTTCGAAAAACAGCAAGGTAAAATGTCACCTATCTCTGTTTACAAAACTTTCAACATGATTAAGCAGAATCTAGATCCGGCTCAATTATTATCTTTACGATTGACATTTTTCTCACGAAATAGAGATAAGAACCTATATATCATGCATAAAAAAGAACTAATTTTTTTCATTCAGGATAACGGTAAGAAAGGGGAAGTTGCCTCTAATAATTACGAGTTTGATTATGATTCGTATGTGTTTCTCTTCCCTATATAATTTGATTTGATTTGATTTGATTTATTGGTTTCTGCATCTTTTTTCTTTCTCTTTCATCATACATTTTCATGAACATAATATGGTTTGATACACTATTTCAAGTGTACATAATTTTATACAGATAATATACGAATTAAACAAATATATTGAATGCATAATTAACATAAATTAGATGCAGGAGGGCTACAGAATAATCAAAGTAGCTTGCGGTGTCCGCAGCCCTCAACTTAGATACAACAATAGAAGAGCAGAAGAGTGACTTGCAGAGAAGAAAGAGAAATGACATTGGTAGTTGCACACCAGCTGATGTAATTAGGACCAAAATCTGATAGATCTGATTTGGGTAAGCGAATCTAATTAATTAGATTATGCTAGAGACATTTAACATCTAACTCGCCGTCAGGGTTACTGTAAGCATGGTAAGAGCAATCAGAGAGAGCGCTACATGGCCAATAACCAAATAAATCTTGAGTCTAAAATCTGAGTTCTAGGAGGGTCTCAAGTCCCTGCCATACTCAGATAGATTAAAATCTAAAATGTGACTACTTTTGTTTTTGAAAAGTAGTTTGGACTTGTACAAAAAGAGGGGAAGAGAGAATGAATAGAGCGGAAGAGGTCTGGAAAATGACAGACAAGGGGATAGAGAGAGAGAGAGAGAGAGAGAGAGAGAGAGGGGGGAGGGAGGGCCAGAGAACCAGTTATAATAATTGCAATGTAAATCACTTGGAAACCTAGCATAAAGCCCTTTATCAATGTTACTAATTGTGTATTTGTATTATTATCATTAATATTATCATTGTTACTATGGTTATTTTTTTAATTATTATTATTGTCATCATCATTTTCATCTTTATTATTATCATTATTATTAGTATATCAATATAAATATCATTATTAATATTATTATCATTATTACTCGTATTATTACTATTATTATTATGATTATCATTGTTATATTTGACGCAAACAAATAATCTATGCTCACCCTTTCAGCAACATCTTCAGACATCTCTGCAGCGAACCCATTCAGTGCATTGTAATATTTCCTAAAGACAGAAAACCTCCCCGAGCGAGTAACCATATTCTGCTGTATTCGGGTGAGCAGAGGGTCCAGTATCTCGCCATCCTAAAGAAATGTATAACAGTTCTTATTATGCGATTATATTATACATGTATGTGAAATATTTCTCGTCATTCATGCTTGTACAGCGCATAGAACACTTTTGTTTATTATGCGCTTTATAAATATTGTATTAATATTATTATTGTTATTATTATAATTTAGAGTGTTTGAAATCTATTTTTTTACAAAATGGCTATACGTCCTCGAAAACAAACATAAGACTAAATACATAGCTGTCTCTGGATCTAGAAAGATAATTTTCATTAGTAATAAATGCAATCATGAATCAGATATTCTATAGTTTATAATATATTGGTCTTGTAATAAGGGAAACAATAAATATCCCCCCAAAGATGTGTCAATCGGATATCAAATAAAAAAAATCCTAATTGTTTCATTTATAAGATCTATTGCAATATATATTAAATGTACAAAGTCAACTCTCTCGTGAATTCCTAAACCACCAAACCAAATCAAATGTTCATTAAAGTCATACATCAGGATGCACCTCTTAGTAAACAATTCTTGCGATGTCGGTTAAACCTAACAAGCGTGGAAATAGCACAAAAAGGTGTTTTTACAATGTTTTAAGTATCAAATTGTTAACATCAATGTAGGAGCTGCCTTTTTGACCATCTTTTTGTATCTCTTTCCTGGACAAGCTAAATGCGGGGATGTTCCTCTATTACCATGGTAAATATACTTACATTGAGTACCACGATGTACCTGTCTGGGATGGTCTGTATCCTGCTATCTATACACTGGACCAGGCCCAGTGCTGACAGGAACAACGCAATGGAAATCCCGATTCTCATGGTTCAGTAGGAAAAGGTACTGTAAACAGAAAAGGTACTGTAAACAGAAGTAGTATACAATGAACATAGTAACTGTTATGACACTATTATTTATGATATAACAGCATTGATTCCAAAAACAATATTAGTATACGACTAGTTCATGTTTGGGAATGCATTGTATTAGTGAATATACACTGCACGCTAGTCATAATAAGTCATTATACGATAACGAACGAGACGTTTCCAGTTCATTGTCCGTCTCATTGTGAATCACTTACATGATACAGAATATACAACTTGAAATATAGCAATTTTTCTGTATTGTTTTTCAATATTATCCCACACGTTACTAAGGCTGAGCTATGTGTTAAATGAGACTTATAAACCCCGATAAAAGCCGATAAAAATACAAATGCCAGTATTTCACACAATAAAAAGGAAAAAAGTGACCCCAACAATATGCTTACCTTTGCCAAGAAAGAAATCAGTTTAAATGATCGCTTGGTTTAGAAGACACAAATATTAGCGATTGTATACACAATTTATATTGATACACAATCACAATTAGGAGAGAGGTGATGGATCCAATCCGGACTTTGCTCGCATTCCCATACTCCTTGAGATAATATTTAGGGTCCTTTAGATAAAGCAAATCCCTATTAAAGGTAATTAGGTGCGCAGATTTGACCAAAACGATGATTGTTTCTTGAAGTTATATGACGAAAATTTAGTATTTAATAGCATGATAAGTTATCGATTTTTTTTGCTGAGTAATGAGCGACGGATTTGGTTATGGGTTACAAACGGAAATTCTTTTTGCCCAATTGATCGTGAGCCCAGCAGCCACTGAGCAGCGCCAGATCGACGTTGCTCTATCCCTTACTGTTGAACGCCTAACAAGGTAGCAACAACTCCCATCTTTTAACGTCTTTTGGTATGACGCGGCCGGGGTTTGAACCCACGACCTCCCGGTTGTGCGGCGGACGCTCTACTGACTGAGCCAACACTCCAGTATATCAACGACAATGAAGGGACTTTTATGTTCATTAAAAAAAACACCCTTCCTTGTTTCTAGTCGAGTGTCAGAGTGATAATCGCGCATTTGTTCTTATGTGGGAATGTAAACAAAAATACAATCTTATCATGTTATTGCAAAATGTGTTTCAAATTCGAATGAAATATAACTGGCAATGATTTCTCGTCATAATATCCAATTACTTATTATTACCAATTTTGTTTCGGTGAAAAGAGGAAAGAAAAGATTGTATTTCCTTTGTAGAACACCAGTAGGAATATGTCTATTGAACAAATAATAGCAACAAGCACAAACACACTACATGTATAGTTTTTCGTTTTGCACTCACAGAATAAAAACGCAAAAAGTAAAGCCCGAGCAAGACAATAGGAAGCTATGCTCTGGACTTTGCAGTACCAATCATCTCTTTAATTCCCTGATCATTATCTTTCACAAATCCAGTGGCGTACCCATAGATAAGTGAAACAGGGATAATCACCATATTAAGTAAATATTGATACGAAGACAAATATCTTTACGAGAATTGCATGAATTGGAAAATTACATGTAGATCAAAATAAATGTTTTGATAATGAGATATGACGAAACATGACTAAATTGATAGTGCGAAATGAATTGATTTTCTTTTGATTAAATGATTGTTATTTATGTGTTTGGAATACCATAACTAGTCGTTTTTAGCACGTGAATCTCCCCCCCCCCCCCACCCCCGACGCTTTTGGGTCTATATCATGCGGAGTAGACTCGAAACAAAACGCGTATGGGGAGGATTTTCCCTCCATTTTATATCAACTTTTAGATACACCACTGAAACCCTGAAAGGACACGACACTGACTTTAATACACAAGTGTAACTGATGTTGTTGACAATACAACGTGTATGCATTATTAGATTCTTTCTCATTCAAATTGAATTGACCAAGTGTGGGTATTGAGCCCGTTGCACACGAGGCATGCGTCAATTGCCTGACGGAGGACTGCGCCTATGCCGGGTGCTATATTGGACGAGCTGGAACAGGATGAAATCATACAATAAGAAAAGATTATTGAAAATGAACACAGTGCAAACATTGCGTTAGTAATTGGTAAATGGGTCAATTGCCCTCACATATTTTATTAGCGCAGGTGATGACGTAGTTGACATTTCGTTTCGTGTGCAGCATGTCTTATAATCGGATGAGCTGATTTTTATGAATTTCACTGTTGCCCATAAAGTTTTAATAATTTTTTTTTAAAACCTATTTTCATGAAATGATTGTTACAATATGGTTTGTTATTGGTTATACGTATATCTTCTGGAAACGTTATTGATTAATCATTTTATTAAAAGACGTAGGAAAAACATTTATTCCAAATTCATAGGAAACATTGGATCCACGTGATTAAAATATCGATGCATCATAACAATTTCATGAATTCAATATATTATCCTAGGCTCAACAATCATCTTAGTATCAGTTTGAGGGACCAAGGTAAAGGAGTTTGTTTGGGGTTCCGTCTTCGGAATCGTAGATCTTGTTGACGGAAGCGTCGTTCACAAGTCGGTCTCGGATGTCTTCAGGCGCGACCCCGTTACCAAGATGGACGGCGGCCACACCTGTATGTAAGAGGAGAACAGAAGACGAGGATGAAGATGAGGAGGAATGTGGAATAGTCATAACCATTATGATATGTTTATGATGGATAACTTATTTAAACTAACTGCTTAAAAAAAGGTATATGTCTACTTGTATGTAAGCAAGCAAGGGAGTGAAATCTCTCAGTCCTCTCCAAAGGACTTGGTTGTAAGAATTAACGCCTAACCAAAGAACAAGAGCGCATCGACTTGGTTTTGAACCCGGGATCCCCCCTATTACGAGATCTCTAGTCAACCACTGAGCCAATCGAAATCCCAATAATCTTTGATCCGATGGCACATATAATATGTCCATTGTATACAATGACAATTCAAAAGAATCCATGCCTCAGATAACAAAATAGATTTTAAAAAATGAACAAATATAACCAATCCAACAAATTATCACCATAGCTCTTTTTCAACATGATCGCAGCTATTTTGGAGAAGAAGAAAAATTAACTTGAGGCAATAGGCCATTTTCATAGTGTAACCAAATGTATACATTTCATTCACCTGGTACGAATAATTGTATCTAAATAGTCAAAATGCAAATTGCATATATAACGCGTTGCAAGGTAGGACAATCCATAATGTTTGTGCTACCTAGCAATATTCTGACATTCTGACTCTTGACATACATTTATTCGTAACAGGTGAATAAAATAATACGTATCGAGGCGCTTCACAAATAAATAAGCATACATTTGTTTACATTACGAAAATCGCCTATTCCATTAAAAGTCTCATGGTCACCCATTAAAATATGTATACATATTTTGGTTACATTACGAAAATTGCATATTCCATTCAAAGTCTAATGGTCTCCTATTGAAATATGTGACCTTGACAGTGACGTATTGCGTAATTCGAACATTAATTATATGGGACATACAATAATGTATTTAATTGGCCCTTGATTTCTTTCTATGTGGAAGGAGATTCGATGGCGTTGTTCTTACCAGCGACGTGAGGACAGGCCATGCTGGTTCCACTCCAGGTAGCTGTGGCTACATCACTAGCAGAAGACGCACTGGTGATGTCGACACCAGGAGCAAAGAGTTGGACGCAGCTTCCGAAGCTGGAGAAATAGGCCCGGTTGTCGTTGATGTCCGATGCTGCAACGGTGAAGGACTGTCGGGTGTGAATAGCATTGAGGTGAAGATGGGGGAGGGTGGATCGAGTGGGGAAGGAGGAGATAGAGTGTGAGAGAGAGAGAGAAAGAGGGAGAGAGTGGGAGAGAGAGAGAGATAGTGGGAGAGTGAGAAAGGGGGAGGAAGAGAGAGTGGGAGAGAGAGAGAAAAAGGAGGGATAGAGAAGGAGGGAGAGAGAAGGATGTAGAAAAATTAAGGAGGGATGGATGAAGGGTAAGTGGGAGAGGATGTAGAGAGAGAAAGAGAAAGGGAGGGTTGAATTCCGATTTATTGATATAATCCTATATACATTAGAGAACGTCATAATTATTTTACGCTTGGAATAAAAGGTAATTCTAACTAATTTTTACAAACATCATCACATCATCATTCTTACTATTAATTGATGAACGTCTTATGAGGGGAAAAATACATTCAATTATCATAATCACAGAAAGATAGTGTCAAAGAGTATGACGAACTTATTGTAAGATTAGTTTATTTTATTGGGAGAAAAACAATAATAAATGGTTTATTATCTATTAGTCGAATTCGGTATCGTAATATGTAACAAAAAATAGATTCAACAAATCTTGAATCAGGACTATCTTCTTTTGGGGGAGGGGAGTGCGGGGGAGGGGCACCTTTTTCATCCTAAAGTCTTCAATATTTTTGTTCCTGCTTCTCGATTCTTCATCATGAGTATTTAATGATTGATTCATGACCTTTTAAGAAATTAGCATGACAATAATTCAAAGGAAAATCTTACTTTTGGAGACCCCGCTGGCGAAAAGGTGCAGGCATCATTGTCGCTGTTACCCGCCGCGGCTACGGGAATGATCTGGCTGTTACTGGCCGCTTCAATCGCATCGTCGATCGCGTTTCGTCTTACTACACCGAACGACATGGACATCACAGCGGGACGCTGAGCAGTAGCAGTTGTATAATCGATGGCTGAAAAAATAGATAGATGGATATAAAGTTAAATGGATTAATGTAGGCAAATAGATAGATAGATAGATAGATAATTACAGCATATGCCTCAGAGGCGCAAGAGACCAGGTTTTTTCACAAAGATCCTAAGTTGAGCTTATCTCGAATTATTGAAAGCCATTAGCATCTTTTGTAAAAGTTATATTAAAAGGCATCAAATGTTGATTCAAATCGTTCATATTTTCAGTGAGATTTCATGTTCTTGATGTGGAATTTATAAAAAGTATAAAATACCTTAATTTTCGCCTTTGAATATAATTTTTGTTAATGCTACAAAAAAAATTAAAGTCCAAATTAGAATTAAGTTCAACTTAGGATCTTTGTGAAACACCCCCTGGACCTCGTTTCTTGTTATCAATAACAAGATACGATAATTGTTATTAGCTACTATAATCCTTACCTTTGATTGGCTTCGAGTAGATACGTCACAGAAATTTAGCACTTCTTATTGATTACAAGTTTTATGAAACAGGGCCCAGGTGTTGGGAGCTGCACCCCATCCTCACCAATATTAAAGGGTGTTCACTTCATATTCGGATATTTGGGTGGCAGCGAGATGTGTGTTTGTTTGTTTGTTTTTGATAAACCTTGTCTAGCAGGTTTTGAAGACAAATCACATTTTACACTATGGAAAAGTGCCCGAAATTTCGTTTGCTCCTTTCTTCTACATTGCAACATGTAGTTGACATTCGGGCAAGAGGCCGTCAGCCCCCCCCCCCTCGAAAACAACAACAACAACCTACCTATAGAATAGGGAGACTTGTTATATAGACACTGTTAAACCTAGATGGAGTTTCTTTCTTTCTAGTGTTTTCATCATTTTGGTCATTGTCAACATTAAAATAGTAAATTTTTTCCTTCAGAACCGATTTAGTATTGGTCGAAAAGGGATTTCAACATGATTGAATAAAATGGCAGAAAGGTGCAAAATATACATGTAGCAAGGATTAAATCATTGGGCACCTTTATGTGTATGTGTGGGGTTTAAACCCCCCAAAATAGTTCTTTTCAGTAGAAAGTGACATACAATTCCTGAGACGAAATGTACTCGTTACCTGAGACAATATCCGACGCTGATCCGAAACCGCCGCAGTCGAAAAGCCGAATAGAAACAATGTTGGCTCCACGAGCAATACCGTGAATACCGCCCGCTGCCGTTCCTGCACAGTGAGTGCCGTGGCCGTGGCAATCTGCTCCCTATTTTAGATGGAATACGGAGAGAGAAAGATGAATATTGGGGAAATCAAATGTTTCGTTATTTGCAGATCCATAAGTTACCTTTGATAACGAAAAAACTAAACGGAAATCAGCATCACAAGGATCATTTTCTCGCTATCAATGCTATTTGGCTCTATATGATAAACCTATCAACGTGATCAACTTGATAGAATCGCCAGGTATAGGCCTATTACAACTGTTGATGATATTCGTAACGTTAGAAAGAAAATACCAGGATTTACTGATGTATGCAAGATAGATATATTGATATAAAGATGGAAAGGTAAATAGATGGATAGAAGGATAGAAAGATAGACATTTATATATAGATAAACAAATGAATAGAAAGATACAATAATTATAGCTGTAGAAAATCAAAGATACAGCAAAACTCCTTCTCTTACTGATAATAATAATACACCCCCTAATCAAAAAAGGTATAACTATCCAGGTTGTGTTTGTTTGGGATGGCAGCAGTCAAGGGCCACATCTGACCTACATGCACAATCAAATTGGCAAAAGTACATTTTGAATTTTCTTACATTCCAACCGTCATCTACAAAGTCCATTGGGTCTCTCCTGGCCCTCCCTCCGTCGAAGTCTTCATGCGTCTCTCTGATGCCGGTATCCAAGACATAGACAGTCACGCCAGTACCGTCCCCTATTACAGATTGTCAAAAAAATATGACGTAATAACAATATAATTAATCATTGCCAGCACGTGCCCCTTTTTCTTTTACAAGAAGCGCCCTTATTCATTGTGATAAGCCTGCCCCCGTTAAAAAAATAAGAGCCCCTTCCCCTATTAAAATCTGATAGGTGCCCCTTTTCTATTCTCATTTGTGCCATTTTCATCTCTCATAATTTTCCTTTTTACCTTTGACAAGCTCCTTTTACTTATTAATAAATGTTCTTTTTACTCATCAAAAGTGCCCCTTTCCCTTTCTCCATAATATGCGCCCCTAATATAAAGCGACTTTTCTTTAATTTTCCCCAAAGCTCGCTCGCGTTTATAGTTGATATAATTATGTTACTTATTAAAGGTCTTTTCGGTCTTTCAGGATTAGATTGGACTAAAAACCCATCAAGGTTGTTTTTCCCCCTCTTTATAAGATGTAATTTTCAGCACTGCGACCTTACAAATCTTAAAATGTTGGCTCGCTCCCTTAATTCACTCGCAAACGAATATTCAGACCATCAAACCCAACTGCAAAGTACGATGCTTAAGCAGTATATCAGGCCGGGTAAAGAGAGAAACAAATATTGGTTTCATCCCTGATAATTTAATCGCAGTAATGACAATGAAGGGATATATATACCATAGTCTAAAAAATGGGGTATTTTTGCTATGAGGTTTCTCTTAGTAAGTACCCCGTTTTTCCCCTTCTGAATAGTATCATTTTTTTGTTGCTGCCCCCTCCCTCCCCCTCCCCACCGAATTAGAAAGACGCTTCGCTGCCCTGGATACCCTTCATCAGGCTGTTGTGTAAAATGATGCAAAAATCAGTAAACGATCATTCTGAGCAACAGCCGATGACGAAGCATACATGTAGGTATACAAAAACCGTAAAAGTCGCTCAAAGTATGCCTTCACCGAAAGATGGCGCGATTAAAAATACATGATAAAAGTGGTAGCGGCGGTGTCAATAAAATACCCTGCATGCCTTTAAGCCATACCATACCTTGCATTTCGAACGATTGATCTAGAGGCAGGTCTCGCTGATCGACCCTATCCAGACCCCATGACTCGGGGGCGGCGTCGACCCGGGCGATAGCATCGCTCTCGATGTATTTAACACCTCGTGCGACTCTCAGCTGCAAAGTTGGAAAAAGGGAAATCAAATAGACGATAAAAGTTCATGTAGCGGTGAGATCCGGGGCGTCACCACAACATTTTCTTTGAGTTTTCACGAGCAAAATTTACTGATAATTTTGCCATGTTGCCTGAACTTATAGCCCTAGTTAAAGTGACATTGAGTTCTTAATTCACACATATTTTTTCTCTCTCTTTTTCATTCTGTGTTTCCTCTCACTTCTCTTACCAATTTGCCAGCAACAACAACGGATTTAAAAATACGCCCTCTAGCGGAGGCCTCAGTATAATATAAACATTAAAGAAAGGAGAGATTGAGCCAACGATATCATACCGATGACTATTTCTGCATGAAGCCACATATTTTATTTGTAAATCTACTTGCATTTTTAAGGTTTAGGTTGCAAGAAGGATGAGAATGATAAGCTAGCTGCAGACATTCCATTTAAAAGGGGGATAGGGGAAGAGGAGAATGCTGTCGAACGAAAATATGCTTTAATGCCGAAGAAAATACGTTTATATGATGGATTAAAAAAAATCTTTAAATGTTCGATTCATGTTCTTACCTATTGACTTTGAATTGATTGTATTCAATGCAAGGCCTACATTAAGAAAATCTACGCTTTTCCACTTGCAAAACGGCCGATTACATAAAGGCGGAAAGAAATGGAATACAAAGATGCTATCGTGACCAGTCGGACTTTGATAGCTGTACTAGAGCTTGAAAATTACAAAATATCAGATGATACGATTGTTTTATGTCACCTTATGTTCAAAGTTCCAGAATGAAATTCAATCATCTTTGGTAAGTATGTGACATACGTGGACTTTCCTATTATGAAACTTGCAATATATATAAGATGAAAGTTATTGTACCAGTTTCAGAGCTCTCTCATCAAGTTTGACAGCAATGCCTTTCAGCGCCGTGTAGAATGTACGAGTGATTTCGAACTCGCCGGCCACCGAAGCGACGTCGACTTCGAGGTTGGAGACGAGGGTGTCGACATCGACAGTGTCCTATGGGAAGGGAGAACATATCATTCTAAGGGTTGTTATATTCTTATTCTAAGAGCCAAATTTGAATAACATGAATGACGAGGTAGGTAGGTTCTTGTGGAGGTGAACTTAGGAGTTGTGAGATTTCGGATTCTTTTCATGTCAGTTTAGAAGAATAGTATAGTAAAAATGTGCTCAAATTCGAAATATGAGAAGTCGTGGCACATTCGTAGTTTAGGACAGTATCCGTTTTACCACTTTTGGTCAATCATATTCATCTTTGTGCCATTTATTTTGTCCAAGTTATCCGAGATTTTTCAAAATAATGTCAAAGTAAATTTAGTCGTTCAAGTTAGTTAATGGTCGATAAATTTCAACATTAGTCCATAAATGTTCGTAATGCTTGTTCCAATTCGTCTCACTTGGTGGTCCGCTGCAGAATTTAATAATTTTAGTTCTAGTTTTATTAATCAAATTCGTCTCTGTGTAATCAATTTCAAGCGAAATTCAGTCGAATTCGGTGCATAGACATGACCTTAACACGAACGAGTGACGACTTTCAATGACGCTTTCAATTGCAAAATGACGAAATTAAATTATGCAGTTGTACGTTGGCAGCCGAGGATGACGAATTTGATTTAAAATTGGATGCAAAATGATGAAAGCTATTTGACAAAGTTCGCCAATGAATGACCGAAGACGAAATTTACTATGAAATGTGCAAGATTAGAAAGTTCAGGACGAAATTGAATGAAAACAGTTTGTAAATAGACGGGGAAACCTATATTGGTAGTATCAGTAGTAGTAGTAGTAGTAGTAGTAGTAGTAGTAGTAGTAGTAGTAGTAGTAGTAGTAGTAGTAGAAGTAGTAGTAGTAGTAGTAGTAGTAGTAGTAGTAGTAGTAGTAGTAGTAGTAGTAGAAGAAGTAGTAGTAGTGGAAGAAGAAGTAGTAGTCATCATCATCGTCGTAGTAGAACTGAGAGAAATGGTGTTGCTGTAGTATTACTGTTACCATCCCGGCACTCCCTCCCTCCAAATAATAACAATAAATAAATAAAATAAAATAAAATAAAATAAATAGATGAAATAAAACTCAAACATACCCTCTACATTGTTAGTGTCATTTATTAGTGTTACTAAGCATTCACCCATCGCCCAAGTGAAAATACAATTATCCTGAGTAATTATTAGACTAAGACAGCACTAATCTCGATAGAAATCATCGTAGACAACTTTAAATTAACTCTACCTTAAACAAACAAAAAGCAATATGATGACAATTGTTGGAACCGCTCTCACCTCAAAAACTACAATATAGCGATGCTCGATGGTTGCAAGTCGCTCTTTAAGGGTTGGTATTGCAGCCACAGTTGCTGCCAACAGAATGGTGGCGATAACGAACTTCATGGTGGTGATAGTTTAATATACCGTGCTGCAAACAAACGTAATAAAATGAACAATATTGCGAAGAATCTCAAGAAATAAAAGTAAATTTCAATATCCTATTATTGTAGTACCTAAATAACTCATGTTTGAATTGCGTAATATGTCACTATGATGTTAGCACGTTTTAAAAGTTGATGGTCAATTAAAAAGAAGGTTTCTGGGAAGAGGTGAAAAATAATTTGTGAGCGTTATCATTGTATTATGCAAGTGTGGAAGTACGTCAGATAATAAATGTTCCCTGAAAAGCATGGCTCTTCAAATGCCTTAATATTCTAAATATGGCATGTATTACATCATCAAAATCGGGACGGATTTTTACGCCACATGTTTGTATAGTCCCATATACATCTTTCTGTGTATAGTGCTTGCAACTTTACCAAGACTGGCCCAAATTTCTTATCATTTCGATGATTTCAGAACCTTGCAGTACACACCAATACTGATATGATAGATGATCAATATTTTCTGATCGATTCCACAACGTTTCTTTCACAACGCAATCGCATGACCAGAACTCAACTTCATCTTTAAAGCTAACAAAAAAAAATTACGTATGGTTTATTTCTTGAAAGTCTTCACGATTGCGCTAAGTTGGAAACAGCAACACCAGCAACCGTGTTAATGCTCTTATATAAAACTGTTTGAAAGGGGAAACTAAATTGAAATCAATGAACAATAAAACCTGAATCTTGTGTGTTTAATAACTAGTGCACGCCTGTGTTTCAAATCGATGTAGATAATCAGAATTATCAACATATCACTTTAAATTTCGTTAACTTTATTTCTCGAAAGAACCTGACGTAGTCTTCGAACATATTCAATATCTCCGATGAATGAAGTCAATATTTCACCTAAAATTGTCGTCTTGGTGAGCTTTAAACATTAAACGTTTTGAGATGTCAGCTCCATAGTTGATACATGTAACACTGAACGACAACACAATGTAAACTATTGAATATGTTAATCTAAGAAAGAACTATATAATTAGTAATCTTACCTCGCAGGAATCTCTCTTGGTAATGTTCTCATCGCATTTTAATCTGCGTTATATTAACGCACGAAGGCCCTTAATCCGTTTCATAAAAGACATGGGAAAATGAACACTTGCTACTCATAACGAGTATATACCAAGATGATATAATCCTGATAATCATTAAAAGATAAGATAAGATCGAACTCTAATAGTGTTAAAGTCAGAATTAATTGTGAGAAGGCCAAATGTGTAGGGTTAAAACATTTGGAGGGATTTCACAATAGGCCCTTATGCATAAAAGGTTGTTATAAATTTTTAAAAACTCTAAAAATCAAATGCAAATAAATCCTCATTATCCTACTATGAATGTGTATAAATCTTCATGAAAGAGTTTGCATATCTTATGAGAACGAAAATTATGAAACTATAATGTAATTTGCTTATATTTTGCCATTAAAGGGCCAATGATTATATATGTTCTGGCTTCAGCCTCACTGCCCTAAAAAGGTGCTAGGGCATTACTTCCTGTCGTACCTACTTTTCTTCACCTGGGCGTGGCAAATGATGTTTTGCCAAAAACGCTATTGCTGTCTCAGGGATTCGAACAAAACTTTTTGATCGTCTATTCGATTACACTGTTTGAAAATAACCCCTGCTCATTCTAGCCTCTCTCTCTATGTCTTTATCTCTCTCTCACTTGTTCTCCTTTCTGTCTCTTCCCTTCCCATTTTCTTTTTTTTTCCCTCTTTTTCTCCGTCTCTCTATCTTTCCCTATCTACCTACCTATCTTTCTATAGTTGTCTATCTATCTTTATTTCTTCTCTGTCTTCCCTCTCTCCTCTTTCTCTCTAAATCTTCCCAAGTCTCCTCTTTCCCTTTCTTTCCCTAAATCTGTCTCCTCTAACAGTCTGACTTTGTCCAAAGCCCCCCCCCCCCCATCTCTCTCTCTCTCTCTCTCTGCATCCCCCACCACCCTTTCTCAAGTTCCTCTAGGTACATACCCCATACACTCATTACAGCATTACTTTGCTTTGCCCATATATCAAACTAATTCGTCTTTATCCAGAATGTTATCTCGAAAGTACATCATTAATTTCCAGGATACTGAAGGTTTAATTTGTTTTCTTCTTGTTTTATTATCAAAGATCATAACTGTAATAAACAACATTGTGAGAGAGATATAAAAAAAGAAATAGAGAAAGAGAGGTGAGAGAGAATGAGAGAGAGAGAGAGAGAGAGAGAGAGAGAGGGGGGTTCAGGGAGAAATTTAAGGGACAGAAAAGGCGGAGGGAGCGTAAGACATGAACAAATATTCGTCTGGAGAGGAGTGAAAATAGATGCATGCACGTCAACTTTAACAGATATAAAATTGAATAGTAACACTAAAAGTTGTTTACAAAATTCATCCCAAAAACATTCCCATATTTGACAGGTGTTTCATGAAGATTATCATCTGTTCCCAAAAATGGAAAGGAGTGCAGGAGATAGCACTGTAGCATAAACTGCATATTCATGCCTGAACACAATGGACATGCGTATTGCCACAGAAAAATTCCACTTGGTATTTTTTTAGTTAGAAATAAATATATAAATAATGACTGGTAAAGAACTTAAATGCCACGAAACTATAATAGCAAGAAAAGGATGAAGGATTCCTATAAATCTTCCTAGTTTGATTACAAATCTGTAAAACTTAGTTTAGTTTAAAATACTGGAACTCAGAAATAATATCACAATTGTTGTGTAGGCAAGTTTGGCCCCTTAATCAATTTAGTAGAATAATACATTTTCATGTTCCTCTAAAAAACGATATCGGACTATTTACCATCTCAAATTAACAAATAACATTTTAACTAACATAAATATAAATCTGTGTGCTATTAAATGAGAAATAATGCCATCACCATGCAATAACCCTTACATGATATATTGTAAATGTGCTACACCAAAAAGAAAATAACCCAAAACGAAAATACATTGATTTTTCTAAAGGTTCAGAAATCTGCAATTTAGTGCACGTGTTTGTTACATGTATACAAGGCCAGCCTCAATACTTGTTCAGTGTCGTGTTTGTACAAAATGCGATTTCTAAATTCTATGATCAGGGGCTTCGGATGACGGGTGATTCATTTTTGCTTTTCGGTCCTCTAGATCTTCCATCTTTTCAAGTCACCATTCCGGTCCGGTGACACTCAGCCTCTTGAATACTAGGTCAAGTTCTTGAGAATTTCTTTGTTTCAAGCGATATTCTCAATGTTATTAAATATTGATGTAAATATTCTACATCTGTAAATAATGCAAATCATTCAACCTGTTCAAAAATGATTCTCTAAATAGGACCTCATTGTAAAATAAGCTCTCAAGCTTTCATGGGTCTTCCCGTCAAATTAATACTTATTTTCTCGTGTTGTAGATTTTTCTCCACTCTATTGTTATTTTATGAATATTTGAGCTCGACAAATCAAATCAAATCAAATCTATAAAGTCTTTTAGTCTCGTAGACAGCCGGTCTCTAAAGCTTTTCAATTTCGGTCTAACGAATCTTCGGACTTGTAAAACCATGGACAGTTAGAAGGTCAAGCAAGAGCAATACTTGAAACTGGATCAGGAATTGTGTTTTGTATGAGAAAAGCTTCACGGTTCAGTACTGGTTGTTTATATCGAAAAAGATTGTTTTTGTTTCCAGTCATTAACATTCCTTTCGTTAAATTATATTCGTAATCATAAAAAAACATTTCAATTCATCATAGCTGACATATATAGCAAGATATCGTCATTATCACTTGTCGTAATCTGATAGCAAGTTAGCCATTCCGTTTAGATATTGCAAGACACTTCTTTGTGCTACGTACTCCTCATTCATACGACAATAAATAAATTACAAACTATTCACAAAATGTGTTCATCCTGACCAACTTAGTTCAGTGTCTGTCGTCATAACCGATTCTCTTTGCCTCTCGAGGTCTGAAGCACTTAAATCGATGGATATAAAGGTTGTCAGGTTTGAGTTTTCAGTATTTCCTGCGGATAGAGCAACATGTGCAAGAGAATCATTGACAATGTAATCTGCCATTGGATTCGTAAAGGTGAGGCCGGAGGCAGCAGCTAGGTCTCCTTCAGCAGCAGGAGCAGCAGTTGCGGTGGCATCCTCAGCTGCAAAGACTTCGTTGTAAGATGGTGGCATTTCGATGTTGGCACTGATGGATGTTGCCATGTCATCTGGTTTAGGTCCTGCGGAGCTTCCTGACATGTTGGTGTAAGGCGCTACCTCGATGATCCTCTCCTCCTTCCTGCAGATGCGAGCAACAGCCGAATTGACCCTCCACGTATTGATGGCACCGCATGCGACGAGTCCGACGAAGAAAACTGTCGTAGCCGAGATGGACATCTTCAAAGGACTTCCCTCTAGGAGAGCCATTGCAAGGTAACCAAGAGGAATGATGGCTCGGGACAGGACGGTCGCGAAGGCTCCAACGTAGATGATGACACGGTACCTCCTGGTGCCCTTGAGGCGAATGACCTTGTGCAGTTTTCCAACATTTGCAAACAGCATGTCCGTTTCACTCACGAGCAAGATCATACCCATCGGAGCGTCTTCTTTGGTAATCAGAACTGCGACAACCGTCAGGATCACCATGAACTGCATCAGCATAATCGTGTATTTAACGATGCAACTGTTGCCAAGGAATGCTACTCTGAAGAAGGCAACGACGTGGAAACCCAGGGATGCGGCAAGGAGGAGCTGGGCAGGACGCGGTAACTCTGTTTCGAAGGAAAGGACAGAGTCATGGAAGACCAGTGTTACGATTATGGCTGCAATGCCTTGAGCTGAGTAGAAGACACTCTCGAGATAACTGAAATGATAAGAAAGAAATATACAATTCAGTAAGTTTTAAGCCGGAATATTTATTCTAAAATATTTGACATAAATTATTTCAAAATGCAAATGCTGAATCAATTAACTTCATTTCCCATGGGTGAGAAATTACAAAGAATGTTAATTAGTCATAACTGCAGGGCGATTGTGAA